TGCCTCCAAAGAAACAAAATTTTAGCCTAGCATGATGGCTTATACCTTTAATGCCAGCACTCGGGAGGCAGAGGTAGACAGAGATCTGTGAGTCTGAGGCTAGCCTGGTCTACATAGTGAGTTCCAGGCCAGCCGGGGCTACAGGGAGACCCTGAATCAAAAAGAAAAAAAAAAAAAAATTTTTTTTTTACAGTGGCACAAACACACATAGAAAAGAACCTCTCCAAGGGCCAGCAAGACAGCACATTAGTAAAGACGCTTGTCACATATATCTGACAAACTGAATTTGACCCCCAGAACCCACATAGTAGAAGGAGAAAACTGACCCCCCAAAAGTTGTCCTCTGACCTCCACATGAATGCCATGGCACATGTGTGGCTGAATGCACATATACATACTACACACACACACACACACACACACACACACACACACACGAGAACAATAAAATAAAAAGATTTTTTTTTGGTCTTTTTTTTTTGAGACAAGTGTCTCTCTGTAGCCCCAGCTGGCTTTAAAGAAAAAAGATTTTAAAGAACCTCTGAAGTTAGATTTTATTTAACCTAGTTACCCAATGTAAGGCTATGAAATATACCTCAACTACTTGGCATACCAACAAGTTATTTATATAAATCACAATTCCAGTCAGGCATGGGAGTACACACACCTATAATCCTAGCACTTGGGAGACGGCAGTCTTGCCAGGAGTTTGAGGCCATTGTGGGCTATATAGCAAAACCTGCCTCAAAAAAGAAAGGAAGGAAAGAGAGGAAACAAAAACAAAACAATTTCAACTGAAACTCCAAGATAGTAATTATTTGGGCATCTTTGAGTTATGTATAGTCAAATGTTCATTAAAATGGCATAAGTGATCTTGATAAAACCGCAACACAAATTTAAATATACATTCTCATTTAAAAATAAAAAAACACTAGATCCAGCCCAGTGCAGATCTCTGTGAGTTCAAGGACAGCCTGGTCTATATAGTGAGTTCCAGGACAGCTGGGGCTACAAAGAGACCCT